TCCCCCGTTAAAAATTTTGGGGGGGAAAGGGTTCCTAAAAATTTTGGCGGGGTGGGGGGTTTTGGGCCCCCCCCCCCCCCCCCGTAACTGCCCCTGCCCCATACCCTTATCGTGTTTGTTGGTCGTTGTGGACGAAAAAGGTGGAAGGACCGCAGCCGTATCGGTCGGGCTTCGTGGTGAAGAGAACAGGCACGGAGAGTTCTGCGCAAGAGGAAGTCGAGGTGACGCACCTAGTAACCACCGCAAGCGCCGTGTGAAGTCCGAAACGCCGGCCGGGCTATACTATTGTTCTTGGAGAGTTTTGCGCGTGTCCTGCGTCCGTACTTTGCCAGCTTGCCATCCTTGCGATGACACGCCGATGGTGACCCCCCGATACCCTTCACGCAGAGTCGTTGGATGGACCCCCCAAGTGTACGGGGATAGTCTTGTTGTGCCATTCGGTGTCAAACCAGCAAGTCATTTCTGCGGCTTCGCTCCTTTGCGAGACGACGGAGGGATCAGACGTCCCCCGCATTTCGAGGTCCTTAGCCCAGTACGACCCGCCTTTCTCCTCCCAGCAGACGACAGAACAGTACATGCGTGACACCGCGCCGCGTGTGCGGGGGGTGCGCTCATCTTACCCCGCCAACCGCTTGGGCACTCGACCCCATACCCGTCCGACGTAGCGTGGAAACACGTTTTATTTCGTGCCATGTTTCGGACGCCAAAAGTCGAAATGCGGTGGAACTTCAACTCCGTGTACTCCCGCCTCCCAACAAAAACTCGTTGTTTGCTTTGTCCACAAACGGGTACCGCCGTCCCCCCCCCCCTCGAGCAAAGTTGTTAGCTTGGTCTTAAAACCTATTTACTCATTGCGGAAAAAAACAGAACGCGTTGGCGGTGGGGCGGCCAGGAAGCGCAGCAGGGAGCGGCGACGGCGGGGAGCCCACGTGCCTCCTCGACAAGGCCGGGCCGGGAGACCTCGTCCTCGAGCTTAGCGACAAGACCGCCTGGGAGCACGGGAGCCAGGCCAGCCGGACGGTAGGCCCGGGAGAGAAGGGTCTCTACGTCTTGCTCTACTGTGGGTGCCCCGTGGAATCGGAGGGGGGAGGTGTGGTGGTGATGGCGGAGGAGGAGCACAAGGTGTCGTTCAAGCTGAGGGTGGCGTTCTGGAACGAGGGGATCGGAGGGGACAGGGACTACCTGTCTGCCGGGAGCGAGTCCTTGCCGGAGCTGTTCCTGGGAACGTTCGTGCTGTTCTCGGCGGCGCTGGTGGTCTGGGCGCGGTGCATTAGGAGACATCCGTCGCAGGTGTGTGTGAAGGAATGAGATTTTTCTTGTGGGATTGTGGTAGGCCGGCCGGGGCCCCGGCGGAACGGCTCGTGCGATGGCTCGTGAGATAGTGGAGGGCCGGCAGGGGGGCGGCGGAACGTCTTGTCTCGTGGACGGTGCGATAGAAGGAAGACTCCACCGCTTGGTCTCCCGCGATGCCCCTCGTGTCCGTCCATCTCCTGCGGGTGCACTTGGGTGCCTGGCGAACACGCAAAGAAACACAGCAGTCCATTGTTTTTGGTCCGCCTCTGTGGTGGAGAGGGCGTTTATTCGGCACGAACGTGTGTGGGGGATAGCCGAGGTCCTGTTGAACTCCACAGTGGACGTAAGTTTGGCCACGGATGATTCATCAGTTTATCCAAGACCTTATCATGGTCATCACGCGCGCCGAACTCGTCCCGCATCCAAAGGCCCGCGTGTGTGCGGGTGATTTCATCGACCGCGCTGTAACCGACCAACCAACGACACACCTTTTGTTTCGGGCATTTAGCGTCATGAAAGAGCCCCAACACGCTCTCCAGTCAACGGGCTCTCTCCCAGCCATCGGGGCACGGGGGAGGCGACAGAGTCCCGCGCGTGTGTGTGTATTTTTTTAATTTTCGTTGACGGCGCTAACCGGCTTACCAATGAAATGAAAACGGCGCGAGCGGGCATATTTAAAGGACTGGAGGGGGCCCAGTATTCGGAAAATGCGTGGGCGTGATTTTCTGAAATATTTTTCTTATCTGAAATATTGCTCTTAACCCAACACGTTCCCTGGCCCTTATATTCGATGCTTTCGGGGTCAATCATATCCATCAAAAATGTGTGTGTCTCATCCTCCACGTGTTGACCGCGGAGCCGGTCTTCAAGACCCTGTCGATGTTGTTCGAGTC